TATATATATATATGTATGTAGGAACACTTTAGTCCAGTTACAGATGTCTCCTGCTGGTCACCTGCTGGTTATTGATCTAAAGTGATTATAATTGATTGATTCAGTCAGATTCCTTGTTTGCATGTACCGGCTTGGCCAGTAACGTTGATTCTGATTGATTACAACGATTTTATCACTAAAAATCTAAAACTGATTCCTGAAAACACCTTCAGGTCCATTGAGTAACTTCCTGAGCTGTCGCTCGTCTCAGTTCAGTTTTAGATGTTGAACAGGAAGTTGTGAGAGTTCAAAGCGGCTCAGTCTGCAGACGAAGACCAAGTGTTCTGACTGAAAGCTTCAGGTATGCTTGAATCACACAAAGAGCCTTTATTTTGGCGGGGCGGGCGGAAGCAGCTGTGTGTCACCGAAACTTGATGGAATTTAACGTCTGCTGCTGGTTTGAATTTTTCCTCCAGAAAACTGGAAGAACAGACAGAAGAAGAGACGTTGGACTGCTGGTGCTCTGATTAGTTCTCTGATTAGTTCTCTGATTAGTTCTCTGGTCAACGACCGGGTCAGCGACCGGGTCAGCGACCGGGTCAGCGACCGGGTCAGTTCTCTGGATGTTTCCAGTGGAGCGATGGAAGCGACTTTCTGCAGCAGACAGAGGTGAGCGTGAACTTTAACTTTGTGCAGTTTTCATGCGTCCAAACCGACGTCCAGTCAGAGAAGTGACGGTTCAGCTCGTTTGGTTCGAGTCCAGTTTGTTAAAATCAGCAGCTTCTCTTCTTCTGAACCAGCAAACCTTTTAACAACCAAATATCAACGTCCGTGTCTAAATGGCTGCAGCAGGTTTTTATTCACTGAAGGCTCAGCAGAAAATGTTTGTTGGCAGCAAAAACTAACTAATTATTGATCAGCCTGATCGATCATTTTACAGATGAGTTTGACGCCTATCGGTTTGATTTCAGATGATTTCAGTTCATTTGCTGTTTCAGGTGAAACAGTTTTAATAAACATAAATAACAAATAATGAGCAGAACAACAGGATCAGCCGACTGATCCATCAGTCAATCGATCAGACGATCAATCAGACGATCAATCAGACGATCACTCAGACGATCACTCAGACGATCAATCAGACGATCAATCAGACGATCAATCAGACGATCACTCAGACGATCACTCAGACGATCAATCAGACGATCAATCAGACGATCGATCAGACGATCGATCAGACGATCAATCAGACGATCAATCAGACAATCGATCAGACGATCAATCAGACGATCAATCAGACGATCAATCAGACGATCAATCAGACAACGGATCTTTAAGACAAATACAGAGATGAGGGTGGTTCTTGAACTCGGTTCTTGTTCATCATGTTGTTAATCAGTTTGTTCTAAGTTTCCTCCTGAAGAACCAGAACCACAGTGATGAACCAGATGTCATCCAAACCAGAACCAGTGTTTCTGCACCAGCTCAGGTTCTGTTCGTGTTATTTATTTCTTCTTGGGACCCAAAACTTCTGTGAATTTTTTTGCTGAATTTTCAGAATTTGACGTTTTCAGACCAAATTTTAGTTTTTCCACCTTTAAATAAACCTGTGAAGCCACTTT